ATTATATATACAGATAATCACTACAAGAAATTTTAATATTACCGACGGTTAAAATTCATCGGTAAATGTTTTATGAAATTATCGATGGACGAGGAATCCGTTAGTAATATTTTTATTATTTATTATTTCCTTTATATTTTTATTATATATTATTAATTAATTTTTCAGTATTACACTTTTATAGGCTTTAATTATTAATGTCATTGTATATTTATATATTTATATATTTATATATTTATATATTTATATATTTATATATTTATATATTTATATATTTATATTTTATATTTTTATATTTTATATATTTATATATTTTTATATAATTAAATATTTTTATATATTTATATATAATTAAATATTTATTTTTTAAAATTATTTAATTTAAGAAATTATTATAAATTAATCTAATTATGATTAAATTAAATTATTAAATAAAAAATATTTAATTTTTTAATTAGTTGAATATTTACTGGTTGTTAATTTACCGACGGATATATCCGTCGGTAATTTCCGTCGGTAATAATTATTTTCCGATCGGATACAAATCCGTCGGTAAATATCCGATCGGTAATACGCAATTTTCTTGTAGTGAATAAACATATTGACCTTTGAAACAAATATATTATAATGTGATAAAAAATATAGTGAAAAATATATTCTTTTTTGAGAGGAAAGAAATATCAAAAACATAAAAATATTAATTTAAAAATATTAAATAACAAAATTAAATTTAAGTATTCATGTAATCATTAATTAATTTTATATGAAAAAAAATTATTTTTTTAAGTAATATATATATATATATATATATAATATTTTTATTATAAAATAATTTTCTTTCTAATAGTATTTGAATTTAAATTAATAAAATCATATAATGTTAAATATATATATATATATATATATAATATTAAATTATTTATTTTATTTTTATGATAGTTTTCGTATTTATGATACTTTCTCAAAATAACATAATTAAATTTAATATAAATATATAAATTAAAATTATATATACATATATATATATATATAAGAATAAATAATTTTTATTGAAAAGATAATATTTTTTGTAAAATAATTTTTTATTAAAAAATATTTACTTTTATTTATTTATACATTTTAGTAATTTTTATTAAAAACCAACAAGAAAAATATGTAATAGAAAAAAGAAATAACTCAATCTAATAATTATTTTGATAGGTTTAAATTTTAATTTCTCAACAATTTGTTCAGATCTAATTTAATTATTAATTTGAAGGAAGTGAATCTTATAGATAGAAAAAAATATTGTTATTATATATATATATATATATATATATATATATATATATATATAATTTTTACTTCATACGAAAATTTATTGACAAGAGAAAGAAAATGTTAATGATTTGTAAACTAATGATGTAAGTTATTATTCATTAAACATACGGAGCTTTATTATTACATTTTAAAAATTAAGAAATAAATATTTTATAAAAAATATTAAATTAAAACTAAATAGCAAAATAGAAACTAAATAAATAATTTAGGCAATAACATATTTATGCCCTAAGAAAAAAAAGAGAGCAAAATCCAAAGTAAATAATATATATGAGTTCCAAATACGCGCACTTCATCGCCATTGGACCACAGAGGCACCCGAGTAGTTGCTCGTTTGAGTCATTCAAAAGCTTGTAAATTGTGGCTCTCACTCTGCCACCACGCGTCAATGTCATAATGTGAATCCCAAACTCCTCTACAACACAACACTTACACCATTTTCATATAATGTACATTATTGTCAAGTTTTTTTTTTAATATAATTTGTCAATCACATAACAAATTATGTTCTTAAAATTTGTAATCATGTTTCATCAAAAAAATAATTCCAAATGATAAAATTATTAGTGTCAAATTTTTATGGCTGAAATATTATTAGGTTTAGAATTTTAATTTGTTACAGTTTTATTATTAAAAAACATATTGACGGGTTGAGAGAGGAGGATCCTGATGTATGTCATTTTATTTTTTATTTCTTTATCTAAGAGTATTTTTTAAGTTAATTATTTTATTCATAAATTAAGTATTTTATTCATAAACTATAAGTTAATTATTTTATTCATAAACCATAAACTAATTATTTTATTCATAAATCATATCTTAACATGTTTTCATTGAAAACATAGCATAACTTAATTTTTCTTGATTTGTTACATTTTACATAATTTTAGCATAATAAATAATATACTTGCATATATCCACATTACATGTTTTTTTCTTCTTCTTCTATAAGAGAGGTAGTTGGAGATGAATCACATTGATGAAAAAAAATGTTCAAATTAATGTCATCAAACTTCAATTTTCTTAAAAGTCCAAATTTGCTTACGCAATCTACTTGCAGAATATTATAAATGGAAAATTTTCAAAATAGAAAAGAAACATATTATTTTCTCCAAACCGAGTCCCAAAAATTTTTCTTCACAATAATCTAATTTTACAATTATTCATTTGAGAAATATTTGATTTTATTGTAATTAATATTTTTAGGCTTAGTTTCTCTTGTTCAATCCCCTTATAAATAGAGGTCTTACAACAACACCCAAACATAATCTTCTAGCTTGGGGTGAAAAATATTATTTTGTCTCATCCCCATTTTTTTTCTTATTCTCAATTCCTAGTTAGATGAGTTCGTTACTACACTTCGGTTTGTTCTCTTTATTTAATTTACAATTTTTATTGAATTTTCTAGTTTATATTATTTTCTTTACTTTATTCATTTAGTGCTTATTTTAGTTTCTATTATTTAATTATTTAGAATTTTCATTTCAGATCTTGCTTAATTTTCATTTTCAATTCATCTATTTTTCAATTCCAATTCTCAATTTAGTTTTACGAGTTATCGCTTCTAGAAATTTCAAATTTAATCACTGCACTATTTTATTTTAAAGTAATTATTGATTTTTTAACTTTTAATTAAAATGACTTTATTTTAATTTAAGTTTTAGTTATTTGAATTCTGCTTCATTTTAATTTTAATTACTGTACTATTTTGTTTTAAAACAATTTTTTATTCTTGTACTTTATTTTAATTTTATAAATTTTAATTATTTAAATTCTACTCTCATTTAATTTTATTTGTTGTTAATATTTTATAGTAATTTGATTTTAATTTTTATCTTCAATTTATTTTTCACTCTTTTATTTATCCATTATTTACTATTTTAAAGAAAATGATATGTGCTAATCAAGTACATTCTTAAAATTATGGCCTTGTGAGATTCCACACGGGTTAGTTATACTGCATTAGTTTAACTACTTGTTTATTATTATTTTTTTTCAACCAAAATGTTATTATCAATCCCTTAATCGAGGATTAAGGAATAAGTTGAAGTTTTGATGGGTTGAGAAAGGAGAGTCTCCCATTCGAGGACTAAGACATATATAGGTTGGAGTGGAACGAGAATTTTGCTTTCGAACGCGCAGTAGACGTCAATATTCCGACCAAGAAGAGGAGTGTTTCGACCTCATATTTGCTATGAGAGTATTGTTAAATAAAACATTGATATCCACCATAAGACCAATAATAAAGTCTTGCTCCATTTCTACCCCTTAGCCTTTGACTGGTATATGTTCTGGTATGTTCATGAGTGACTCATTACTTAAAAGTTGAAATTAAGATAGTTTATTTATATCATTCTCTTAATTAATTAATACACCTTTTAAAGACAAATAATGAAAGACACAAAATTCTCTCTTAGACCTTCAAAGACAAAAAAAATGTTAACCTGTACAAAAATTACAAATAGATTCTTCACTATGTTTTATTTACTGATCCAAGACATTATTTTAATAATATATATTTTTATAATAATATTATATATTAAAATCTATTATTATTTTTGAGATACAGTTGGTTTTGAAATTTAAATTTATTGGATGAATTTATAAAATATAATATTTATAAATCATATAAAAATGTTTGATAGTCACGGTGGAATTCATCCACAAGACAAAAGAAAGCGTCCACTTAGAAAATTAAAGTCCGTGGTGAGTGTGTGTGGGCACCATCCAAATACAACAACTATTGCACGAGTAAATCATGCCTCTCTCTTCACGTTCTTCTTATTATTTCCAAAGCCATTAACATAGTACATATATACAGCCTAATCAGTGCCACCACCACTAAACACAAATAACCTTCTCTGTCTTCACCTCTTCGTATTAATGAAGCAACGCGTGAGACCGAGTAATGCGGCTGTGGTCGTAGGTAGCGGGCCATGCATGCATTACACCATCTTCATTATTGAACTCCCAATTAATCTTCTTAATTCATAAACACCACACCTTCTACTTTATCTCAAACAACACGCATATATATTTGTGAGAAAAGTTCGTGTAACAATAACAAAAAAAAGAAGAGAAAAGACACCCCTATAGCTGCTTAATTGACCTAATAAGTACCTAACTATAACTATAGCCAGATATGCATGTGGCATACAATTATATATCAGATGTCCTTGCTGGGCATGTATCTACTAACAGTCTTTACTTTCCTCACAATTGCATCCAAGTTGAAGGTACCCTTTTGCCGCAATAATCAACAATATGGCTAATCATTAAAAAGTCAAGAAAAAAAATTGTTAATATATTCCACTTTCCATTTTGGTTTACTCTACACAAACCTTTAATTATTAGTTTCTTTAATCACCTTCTGTTTTTAGCACAGAAGATATCTCTCGATTGAGAATATTTCATAACATAGATATCCATTTAGTTTTATATCTGTCTGACAAATTCGTACCTGTTGGGGGAAGTCACATAAATGTAGTAATGTACGTTGGTTCCAAAACAGTGAAATTAGATGAAAGAAGCGAAAACTTTTCTTCCACGATGGTTGTTCTTCAAAGTCAAATAATCTTGTTTTCATTAAGGGAAGTCACAATTCAGACTAAAGTTTGAAAGTTACAGTACTATATAATTATTTGTGGCGTGATGTTGAACTATGAGTGAATGACGATAACTCATCGCAGTAGTCTTTTTTGCTTTCTACAAACATCCCCTTTGCTGCCTTTCATGACAGCTCCTCGAGGGTTGATCCTCGCATATTGCCTCTCCATGGAAATGATAATGATACTACGTACTCAAATATGAATAGGAAAATACTCAACCTCATCTAGCATAAAAAATATACCATTGTTATTTGTAATAGTTTCTGCTGGACGTGGAATTTTTTCTATTGAACGTAGAAACATGTTGTTAGTCGAAACTAAGAATGTTGAATGTGTAACCATATGTCAGGCATAGCACCTTTTGATCTTAAAGTGCTTGAAGGGTGAGTGTAGATGGTCCATTACATTACACCTCCAACTATTCCACCATTCAAATGTGTGACAATAGAGTAAAAGGATATACTTCAAGGTGTTTGTCATATTTATAAAAGGACAAGAATGAAAATTGATGGGATGAGACATTAGGCCAACAACAAGTTTCATATAATCTTCTAGTCACTTAAAGGTTGATTGTTTTTTTTTAATGTGTTTATTATTTGTTTTTGAAATTATAATTCATTATAATTTTATCTTTAAAAAGGAACGTATATATAAATACTTTTCACATAGTATGATACTTATAAACGTTCTTTATAGTCGATAATTAAGAAGTAAGAGTGGATACAGACTTTGTCCTTGATTCCGGCCAATATTTTGCCTGAAAATAAGTGTTTCAAATTCATGTACCAATTACTTACTATTCACTTGATAATTCTAATCCCTTTAAAACATATCATGACGAATTAAAAAATATAATATATATAAATTACTCTTTATTTTAATTTCTATATAATAAAAAACTCATAAGTATATATACATTTATTTATTATTTATTGTTACTCACTTGTTGGTCTTGATTTGTTTAGGGAATATGCATCTGTTTAGTTTCATTTTTTTTTCTTTCTAAATTTTCACTTCAAATGCTTTCATTAATTGTCTGATATCCATTTACCTTAGACTAGGATGTTAGATCCATAAACATATGGTAGGCAGAACTTTAAGTAATCTTAAGGTTCTTTTAGAAGGTGATTATGGTGGACACCCACAAGTACTTTGACAATGAAGTAAAAGTGACAAATCTAAAAAAGGTTCAATATTTGAAGTAGAAACAATGTACTTTAGGGAGGTGTTGACATTAACTATTTATGATAGAAGTGAAAGTTTTAGGTAGAGGAATAATGGCATGCTTATCAACAACCTCCTTATAGTCTTGTAAATGCAAAAAGTTTTCCCATATTATGTTAGACAGTTGTTTCATAGAATATGGTGAGAATTTTCTTTTTAAGCGACAAAAATATTTGTCTTCTATCTTTCACATCAATATATAATGACTTAAGCTTATGTGTTTATAAAGAAATCAGTAATCAAAATGAAAACTTATTGATCATGTAATAAATGAACTAGGGATGTAATAAATAAACGTAGGCGAATGGTAAGAAACTACCCATATCATTAATGTTGATCACAGGGATGTAAAATGAACAAGGGCCTTTGCTAATATAATCAAATAAATCTTTGATTTAAGCAGTTTAAATGAATTTTTCAAGTGTTGTGATAGTGTGATTTTGATACCATAAGTTTTAATTGGGCTATACTACGACTTTTCAAGTATCACAAATATGTGCTTTTTTTGTTATTATTATTAATTTTTCATTGAAAAAATTAACCAGAATTCATGCACACAATAAATTATATAAGATGATGGATCGCTTTAATGTATCATTAGTATGAGAAATTATATAAATGTTAATACGTTGGTGATATGGCATGGTGTGCTTATGCAGCATGTGAAAAATATAAGAAACAAGCGTTTTTAGAATATTTTTTTAAAAAAATTGGTTAAAAATTATTTCAAACAAAAAATATAGTACTGACGACAAATAATTAGAATAGAAGTTGAATGATCATTTCGATAATTTCATCCCAACGAAGATAAACGATTTATAGTAACTATGGATAAAAATGCATACATTTAAAAAAAAACAGTAGACAAATAAATTCTAAATTTTCAACATATATATATATATATATATATATATATATATATTCTAAATTCTAAATTCTAAAAAGTAGATAAATAGTTATATTTATCTAAATTTGTGTGCGTTAAATTCATTATCTGATATGATGTACGTGTATAAATCATCAGTATTATATTAATTTTAAGAACTGTATTAATAATATAGCAAAGTAAAATTATGTAAATATATACGACATAATTTAATAGATTAAGTTTGATGTTGAGTTGAGTACAATAATAGCATAGACTCAATTACTATTCTTGGTGAGGTTGATGGAGCGTTGGCAAAATAATGAACCGAAAGATAAAGCAAAAGAGGAAGATTAGAAGTTTGATCGAAGGGCCAGAAGCGAGGGAGAGAAAGGGGAACAATAGAGGCACGTGCAGGTTAACATATTCCTTATCTTGTTTGTTTTGCTTTACGAAGAGAAAGAGCGGTTGAGATGAAGCCACGTTAGGGATTTTGAAACGCACTAATGAGTAGCGGGGTTGGACAAGTGAGGTGGGTCCCAGGGTGCCCCACGTGCGCGACTTTGCGAAAAAGAAGAGTGGCCCACCACATCGTATCGGCACGTGTCGTGAGATGAAGATGGAAGGTCGAGTGGCTCTCCCTTCTCTTCGACACACTCACTTGCTAGGGTTGTCGTAAGTGCAGGCCCACCGTTAGATTCCACCCACTCGCGCTCCTCCTCGCGTGTGTTCTTTTCTGCCGCCAAAAAACTCTATACAAATTTCGATATAAATATTTTTAATTAATGATGAGAAATATAATTATATTTTTACTAAAATAGTATGTATCTATCTGTACAAAATTATTGACCACTTAATTAGGTTTATCCACCCAAATTTATTAAAGAAATTACTTTTATTTAATTTATTATTAATTATATTTATTTTATTATAATATTTTATAGTAGTTATTATTTTATGCACTATCAGTTAATTATATATATCTGTTTATTAATATTTTTTAAATATTATATAAAAACTGATCTCATAACTTATTATCATGTAAATCAATTTCTTATCTAATAACTAACGTTTGAGTGTTTTTTTTTTCAGGTAAATCTTTACATTTTCCTAAATATTCTCTTCAAAACTAATTCAAAAATTGACCAAATGACTTTCTCTTTTTATTTTTTATAAGAACATAGGCCATTTTGTTTTTAAAAGTTACTAAGTAGAACTTCTTATTTCTCAAATATTTAAAAAAAAATATTTCACCTAATTAATTAAAAAAATAGTTAATATTACTTTTATTTATAAAAAAAACTATACGAATTTTAACCATTTTTACTTTATTTTATTTTATATCTACTCTCTCTTAAACAGTCAAATTTTATATAAATAATGTTTGAATTTTGATTACACTATATGTATTTTTTGTTTTTTGATGAAGATATTCTAGAAAGAATATAAAAAAAATAGCAGAGTTAATTGATTTCTTAATATGTGTAAAGTTAATTTGCTTTGTTTATAAGTGAGAAGAGATGTAGAATAATTTATGTGAACTAAAACTATTTAAAAATACATTTTAAATCATTTCCATTGACATTAGGATTTTTTAACTAATATTTTAAAATTTAAAACTTGGACCAATATACATTTTTTATATTAAAAGTACATGTACAATATAAGTTTATATAAAAGTGACTTCAGTTTTATGAAAATAGTTTTTAGCAATTTTTACGCTCTTTCTATGACAAATAAAAAAGGACAAAAGTTCTTTCCACAATAGAAAAGTTTTTTTTTTAATCGCCATATTATATTATAATGTAATTAAATTAAATCTAAAAGTAAAATATACCATTTTAATAATAATAAAAAAAAACACAATAGAACATTGATTTTACTATATTTAGACCACATGCAAGTCAGCAGCAGGTAGGTCAATCCAATAGACTGAGTTGTTTACTGTGAGTTTACGACACATGTAATGATTTATTACTCTTACTAAATGGTATTTTAAGGTTATAAATACATTTGATGAAAAAAGAGAGAGTTATAAATACTATAAAATATATGATAAAAGTATGTTTAATAAGTCATTAATATTTCAAAAATTGATTAACATCTTGTTTCTGTTTTTTGTTCTTTTCTTGAGTGTTTCCTCTCTGACCCAGTGGTGGCCACCTCTTCCTCGTATTTGAGCTCTGACACGTTTGTCAAGTCCATCATTTTCAGAAAATGATGGTTAAAAACTCTTTTCTTTCACCGGTTGCCACTGTTCTTCTGAAATTCATACACCTTTTAAAAATGGATAAATAAGAATGAAAAATCTAACACACAGATACTCAATCATAACTCACCATATTTTCTAAGCATATCAAAATATCCACTTGATTGGATCATATAGTACGTAACTTTTGTTGTATGCATATCATCTCAGGCCAACCCTTAACACCACATGCAAGAAAATAAAATGATACGTGGAGAAAAAGGAAGAAAGAGAACGATTTTTTTTTCAACCCTAATACTTTCCAGCCTCAAATACACAACACTCTTGTTTGGAAATTTACGTAGAAAAAAGATCCAAAAATTTGAATTTTAGGTTACTTGGGGTCGGTAGGTATGGAAATTTGGACTTCTCTTTGAAGTTTGGACGTTTAGAGTCCTGCAAGTTGCAGATTAGCAAATGTGGGTCCTCTAATGTGGATATTTTCTGAATAGACTTTGTGTGATGTTTGATTTATTTTCATGTACATCGTCGATGTCTTATCTTTCTCTCAATTTGTAAGTATATAATTAAGTTACAAATCCATATTTTTGTATGCGTTTTATATATTTCTTCTAAACAAATATTCATCAATATTAGAAGTGGCAAGGGAGAGATAATTCGAAGGGAAAAATGTTAGGAAATTGATTGATAAAGTGTTGATTTAAAATTTCATAGTTTCATTGAAAGTCAAGCAATTACTTTAAAAGATGCTTCTATTGAGGTGTATCTGAAGCGGGAACAACAAGAATATTTGCTACTTTCTTCGCTCCATGTGACCATGTTTTAAACCTCTCATTCTTTGCATGGCTGGCTTTGATTGTGCTTATCAGATTTTGCAAAATTTGGAAATTATTCGTATCGCAAATCGATCATGGCCAAAATCAAGCAGTTGAAAGTACAACTTAGGAACATCAAGAAAAATTAGTTCGATTCCTCATTTCCTGTTAAAACTCGAGAATCAAGAAAGAAGATTGTTGATATGTTGACTGTAGTAGGACCCAAGAAAAGGAAGAGAGAACATTCTCAACTTTTAAAAGATAAAGAAAAAATTATTGTATGATGCAAATAATAAGAAAATGAGTGTTATTTTTTCCAAGTAATTCGATTAAGAATATGACGAAAATGTATTGTGTTGATTTTTTAAATGTGAAAAGAAAAAAATGTATTCAAGTTGTAGAACATTGTCATTATTTATATAACTTTTACATCAAATTCTATTGAATTATAAAGTGAAACATGATAATGATTGAATTTATTGGATAACAAATATGCTAACTTCATATTTTATTTTATGAAGTAAGTATTTATATAATTAATATATAAATTATAGATCTTTGGAGCCGATTCATTAATAAGAGAAAACACTAATAAATTATAAATTTAACCTAAATAAAGGGCTGACATTACTTTCATTCTAAAAATTTAAGACATTATTTTACGACACACTTAAGTTTCTTATTTTTATTTAATATAAACTTAAATTCACATCTTAATTTCTTAACAAGATACAATTATATTTTATAAATAAGAAAGATATTTATTCAATCAATACCTAAATTTATTAATATATTAATAAATATCATTATATTAATATAATATGTCATGGTTGTGGAAAGAAATTTTCTGATTAATAAATGTCTCCAGTTTAAAATAATTAACTTCTTTAACTTGTATTTTATGATTTTAGGTAGATCAATATGTCAACAAACTGTTTTAATTTAATTTAAGAAAATTAGAATTTTTAAAAATAGTTTAAATATAAAAAATAAATTTTTAATTTTTAATTAAAAAATTTAAAAATAAAATATGTATTATAAAATTTTAAATTATATTAATTAAATTATTTTTAGTTTTTTATATATAAACTAATATATATATATATATATATATATATATATATATTCTAATAAAATAATATTACTTCTTTGTTTATAAAAAAATATAATTATTATTTCATAAAATAGATTAATCATAATGGCCTGATGAACGTAAACTCATTTAAGGTGCAAGGCTAACCAAATTCATTTGATGAATTTAATTTGAGTTCTACTCACACTCTCTTAGATATTTATGATTTTATTTCTATCGTCTTCATGGTTGGTTTCGGAGGCATTTGAAAGTTTGAGTTGAAATATGTTATACGGTTTTAAGAAAAATTATAATTTAAAAATTTGAGGGGATAAAAGAAAGGGTTTAGTAAAATTACGAAAAATATAGGCTTTATTTGGGATGATTTTTAGTTGTAAATGTAAAAAATTTAACAATTAATGATTTTTTTATTTAGACTTAGTTTTCTTCTAATTTTCAATTTAATAATCATTAAATTATAAAAGTTTATCTTAGCCAAGTCAACTTCAAAATACTTTGACTAAAGAGAATTGAGCCATTTTGTTTTACCTGGCGTATTTAGAAATCAAAGTGAATTTTCGAAAAATCATGCAGCGATGATGATGTGATGAACTTTACATGTGGGATCAAATGAATAACCGGTGTGTCCCTAATTACTATAAACCCTAAAAAATGGACTTTTTTTGTTTTTTCCTCATTCAAAGTCATTTATATCTATTGATTAATACAATGTGAAAGGAAGTAGAAGTGAATAATTTGTACACAATATTAACAATAAAATAAACAATATAACAAAATAAAAATATATTTTTAAAAATTAAATTATTTTAAAATATTAACTTTTCCTCTCTATTTCTTTTAAAAATATATTATTTATCTTTTTTCATTACTAAGCGAGAGTGTTTCAATTTTATGTCAAAGTCAATTATCATATTCGACGTACTCGTCTATTTTGGATATCTCGTTCGTCACAATATTCTTTTTAAAAAAACTCTAACAATATTATTATAACGAATATGAAGTCAAGATATTTTCGTAGAAGTGAGAGCCAAGTCTTGTTTCACTCATGTATTCTCCTTAATCCTCAAATTAGAAGTTATGTTTTGGTATGCTTACGAGTCTAACATCGTTTAGGAATCGAGATCAAAAGTAATTATACGAGTTTTTCTCTCTCAACCCACAAGAACATCTTTTAAGGATAAAAATAATGACAGACGAGAAGTATAAAATAGATAATACCTCAAACGTAATAACTGACCTAATGATATTATCATAACATACATGAAATGAAACTATGATACTCTTGTTATTAGATGGATAAATATATAATGTTAGTTAATAGAAAACATAATTATATGCATAACTTGATTTTTCTTTGCATATACGCATAAAATTAGAAAATAATAATAACGATGATTGACTTGATTCCTCTCCTTTAAATAAAAAGTATATAACTAGAAAATTCTAATAATGATGATTGACTCCCGATCATCTTAACAAGAAACTAATGCGTTCGTCTTTAACCTCTCCAACAAGATGACAACAATATTTTCAGTTGAAAGATTTACGAAGGTGATAGTGAGTCTTGTATCCAACATCTTTGTTATAGTCGAAACTTTGACAAATTCCACCAAACTTAACATCAGAGTCTGAAAACCAGTATCTGGTATCAAAATAGCTCAAAAAATGCATAAAATCTTTCTTTTACTTTCTGCAAATGACATGTTTAGAATTTCGTTATTTGTACTAATTATTTTTTATATAAAAAAAATAGAAATAAAGTAACAACACAGTTAGAAGAAAACATTAGAGAAGTAGAAACTAATAGCATCTTCAGACTTAGGTCAATATAACTCCGTAGAATGATGATTTTATTTTTTTCCTTGGGCATCACCTTCTCTGGTGGAAGAAGTTTTCAAATCGTAACAGAGAGTTTTCTCATATCACAGATTTGATTGCTAACTAACGTTTTAGCACATTTATTTGTCTCCATATTTATCTTATTATATATCAATATTTTGAACTTAATTGAGAGTGGTCTTAGCATTATTGCACAACCACCATCTATATTTTTCAACTTGGTTCTTATACAGTTAAGAATTCCAATTGTTTTAAGGATTTATCAATGGTCTCACCTGCTTTTAAATCATGCTCCCAAGACCTGTAATATTTCGTAGAGAGACAATCCTCATTTATTATTTGTATTGACTCATTCTTTGCCATTGCTATCTCTAGTTTCTCTCAGAAAATGTTTATTACCATGAAAACAACCTTTATAGTTTTTTAAATTTTAAATTAATAAAAAAAATGGCATTAATCCGCATAAGCTTTTCGTGCCATCACTATTCATGCAGAATACCATTCCTGATTTGTTCTTCGATCTCAAAAGTTTCACAGTGGATTCTTTCATTGTATGTTAACAAACCACATGTGATTCCTTAGTTGAAAGCTGTATAAAATGCGTTTTAGGTCAAGCAAAGCAGGTAATGGTCTCTTGCCTAAATAAAATGGTTATTCTCTGCATCAAAACTGGTTCACGTCTTACATTTATGAAACATGCCAAGTTTCTGTAAGGTAAAATCCAACCCAACATGATCAATTTCCATTCCTACTTGATACATGCAAATTTCGATGTTAATCTCCACAATAGGCAAAGCCAGTCTTGTTCACTGTTTTAAATTCCTTTGCTGTGCAACATCATATTTGTCACTACTGTTGCTATTGATCGAAAAAGATTGTAAAGTAAAAGCCTCACTGTTCTTAAATGATGTATGAGAGCTTTAATAAAGTTTCGCGTGGGTTAGTCGGCCATCTTAGCATTATATGGTTTGGATGTGGAAAACTTTGAATAAACTTTATGATGCGAGTGATGTTAACTATTTATAGTTGATGTCAAAAGAAATTAAGGGTTGGGAAGATCTTCACGTGCAGTTGTATGTTAAAATGCAAGCATATATTGTGGGGCCTCATTGCTCAAAAATATTCAAATCACATCAAAAACATTTGAATGAAATTTCAGTAGCATGAATTTATATTGACTAAGTCAAATTTTAGAAAAAAAAAATTGCACCCAGTTTCTTGTGTTAGGTCACCTCATAATGTAATGTCCCCTTGAAAGGAAACAAAGTTCCTGGATGCTTTGTTCAATTCAGAATTCTCATGTGGTTTAGAATTAGAGCACTCTAATTAAAAAAACTGAAGTTAAAGTTAAAAAGCTTTCATCACAAACAGGTTACTTATTATGACTTAGCAATTAACTTTGGAAAAGACTGCTTCAAGGTCAACTTCATTAATTTTAAAATAAGTAGGATTTGTTTGTTTCAATTAGTTGAAATTATATTGTTATTCTTTCTTGGTATCAGAAAATTCTGCAACAACTAAATTAAAAACCTCACTACGTTGTTTCTTCTTTCAATATAACCAACCAACACTGTGAACAACAAACATTAAAAAATCTGAAAGTACTAACAAAAGATTGAAAGTGAAAGTTGTAGTTGTCTAGCTAGGAACAGTGAATTAGACCAAGTTACCTATTCAAGTGAAAAAAAATGAAAGAGATGGGAGTGAGCGTTACTAATCAATGTCAACAGTGAAAAGCTAAAACTGGAGATAAGGAAAAAAAGATAAAGATAAAGAGAGGAGGAAAAAATAAAAAGGAAAATATATAATTATGATATGATAGATAGAGTTCTTTACTCAAAGGGGGGCTAACTTTGTTTTGTTTTGTAGCAAACAAAGTATGTTTGAGAGCAGTGTTGGTGCATGAATCTATGGTTCAATTTTCAATTTTTTCTCTGAAAATAACTTCACCTTGGATTGTTTTGTACACCTTCTCTCTCAAAACTTCATGTCATATATATGTTCATAATTATTAATTAAACAGTTTCTCGAGTAAACATGAGCTAAGCAACACGCAAGGGGGTGGCTTCATG